CATTTTAAACCTATACAGAGAAAATGGTGTTTTAGTCTTTAAAATCAACAGTTAACAGACGAAGATCTTACCCACTCTCCTCCATTTCAGAGTGATTGGGTGTAGTGTCATAGTCATTCTCCAGCACTGTACTCTGTCCTTCCAGACTACAGCCCTGTAGGAATGTCAGAGGACAACAGTCAATCAAACACAGTATATACTGTATGTGATTAGTTAGATAAGTTATCACAGCAGCAAATGTGGCCGCACAGAAATTAGAAACATGCAATTCTAAAATCAAACCTGTGATCTCATTATTATTAAGACATCTCACTGTGAAGAGAAAAAAAGGCAGAAACGATACAATCAGTTCATGTGGCGGAGCACAGCTGCACTGCCCAGGATGCGATTAGTAGACGCGAAGGTGTCAACTGTCCTCGGTTTTATCAGAAAGTTATCCCTAAAAAGCACAATGTGGTGATCCGTTATACATCTTTCACATATACTGGATTCAGCTGTCGGATTATTCAAGCAGCCATCTCTGATGCAACATGTCAGCACTTTTGACAATGAGAAGCTGGGGTTGCTCAGAAACTGAACTGTAGCAGAGGCACTGCAGTGCATGCATGCATGCAGGCAGGAGATGCTGAGAAAAGGCAGTTTATAGACACAGGTCAGGAGAGAAGACTGTGGGGTCAAAGAGGACAGTTTTCACCGTCCCCTGGGGCTGCCTCTGAGCCGCGGGAATTTTCAGTACTTAACCCTTCGAGATCTCTCATCCCACGACCAGGAGAGGGAAGAGGGGAAGGTAGGAAGGGAGGAAGCAGCCGTCCCCAAAGGACCCCTACCAATCTAGAAAGGGGTCAAACCAAGTTGAGCATACTCTATTGAGATGCAATGAATGAATGAATGAATGAATGAATGAATGAATGAATATAAAAAAAACAACAACACCAGCCCCAAGCCAGGCATCACCACTTTGGTAAATTAAGAATGAAAACAGTGGTACTCCTGTGCTTACATTGGTAGGGAAGGGTTGTAAAATGACTCCATCGTCATGCCGAGCTGTGTCAACTCGGTGGGGGTACTGCCTTGGAGTAGAGCCCGTCTCATACATGGACCTGGCGCGGCCTCCGCGAGGTTGCTGTCGACCAAAGAGGCCCTGGGGTTGTTGCTGTCCGCTGGGGGTTTGCCATCGCAGTGTTGTGTTTTCAGTCTGCAGGGAATTCAGCTGTAGAGAA